GTAGGCTCACAGATTTAAATCTGGAAGACCCTAAGGGAGTGTCTGTTTTTAGAGATGAGGGACCCATGACATAGAAAAGACAACTTAGTGAGAGTCCTAGAGATCGTGTCAGAAGGAAGTTTTGAGTTTGGGTCCTCTGAGTCCAAACCCAGGACTCTTCCCCCCTCCCCTTACCACCTCACCTCCTCCTCAGGGACAGAAATAAGGGAAATGGGTATATTATCCGAAGACGAAATATTATCCATAGATATAGGGAAGGGGAAAGGGAATAAAGATTTCTATAGCACCTACTATGTGCTAGGCACTGTGTTAAGTGCTTTACAAATATGATCTCACTTGATCCTCACAACAAACCTGTAAGGTAGGTGCTGTTATGACCCCTATTTTAGGTTGAGGAAACTGAGGCAAACAGAGGTGAAATGACATGCCAAGGCCGGGGGGGGGGGCTCACACAGCTAGTAAATGTCTGAGGCTAGATTTGAACTCATGTCTTTATGACTCTTAAGTCCAGTGGCCTTTTTGCTATACCAGGTGAAGATGCAGAGTACTGGGTGATAAGAACAGTGGAAGAGACATGTGTCAAAGGAGAGATGAACGGTCACTGGACCAGACAGGGATGACCCCATTGAAGTGGGTCACTCTTGGGTTGGGTCCTGAAGGATGGGTAGGCTTTGAGGTGGAGATTGGAAGTTGGAGTAGGGGAAAGGATTCTGGTACCCTGGCTATGGAATGAGATGCTAGTCGAAGGCTTGAGCTCCCTAAGGGAAAGACGTGAGTGTGAGGCGGCTGAACGGCATTTTTTTTTTTGCCTTTGGGTTCTTGTGGTTACTGTCCACAAACCAGTCAGATGAGGAAAAGGGAAAGAGTTTTCTTGCATCTCAAAGACCTTCCTGGATAGGCTGGCTTCTTTCCGAGAAACGCGATTGAATAATTTAGAAGTTTGGAGAAAAAAGAGATATGAAAGTTGGTTCGCCTGCTGTTGTTTTTATTATTTGTTAATTAATTAAAAAATTAAATCTATTTTCTCTTTCTCCCTTCCCTCTCTCCTCCCTCCTCATGGTGGGAGGAATGGGGGAAGGAAAAACAAAACCCTCATAATATGCAAAATGAAGCGAAAACTGATTGTTGCATCGACAGTGTGCCAAAAAACGTCTGTCTCATCCTTCACCCTGAGCCCACCATGTCTCCGTCAGGAGGCTGGCAGCACATTTCTTCATCAGTTCTCTGGAACTGCAATTAGCCATTGTGTTTTTCTGACTTCTTAAGGCTTTCAAAAAGTTATCTTTGTAAAGTTATCATATAAATCATTGCTGTGTACAAATCTTCCCAGGTTTCCCGGAAATTGTCCCCATCATCGTTTCTTAGAGCGCAATGCCACATATATACCATAATTTGCTCCTCCATTCCCACGCGGGTGGGGACCCCCTCACTTTCTAGTTCTTTGTCCCCACAAAAAGACTGCTCTTGTGTTTTCCCCAGGGAAAGAGATGGGGCCGTTTAGGCCGACAAAGGACTGAGCCAGCTAAACCAGAGGGCACGAGATGGGCAGATCGCCCACCTCCCTGGGTGTTGGGTGTTGGGAGAGGGGGATGAGGGATTGCACTGGCAATGTGGTTGTAGCTGCCCCAACCTGCCTGTGCCGTGTTCTGAGCTTGCTTCCAGCAGAAAGAATGCCTGGTTGCCCAGATGCTAAAGTGATTTAATTTGACTTGTTAACTGGGCCAGAAGTGGGAATGCCAGGCAGAAGCCAGGCCCTGGGAAAGCGTTTCCCCAGCCTTGGCCTGGTTTTCTTCTGCTCAGATTTGTTGGCAGATTCCATGTGGCTCGTTGAATACTGGATGGAAAACGGGAAGGGACCCTGGAGGTCATTAGGTCCATCCCCCTCACTTCTGTCTAGTTTTTTGGCTTGTTCAAAGGGTTATGATCACTTCAAAGATAATGCAGCAGCACAAGTACAAACATTCCTCCCAACAGCTGGGCTGTGGGGGTAGAATAGTTTCTCCTCTACCACCTAGGCCCAGGGGAAGTGGGCTCAGACCTACCGCAGGTTCTCCTTAGCACCCCTCCACCCCTAAGCCCAATTCTCAATGCTGTGTGGCCAGCAGGGGCGCGAGGCTTCAGCTTTGCTGCTGCTACGCTGGCCGGGGCAGCCACCAGCTTCATTTTACAGTTAAGGAAACTGAGGCCCCGGCACAGGAGGTGGTTTGCCCAGGGTCTCAGGTGAGCATCAGAGATAGAATCTGAACCTTTCCATTGTACTATATATTTTCAAAAATTTTTTATTAATTTATTTTGATTTATCAATAGTCACTTCCATATGCTTTTGAGTTTAAAATGTTTCTCCCCCTTCCTCCCCACCACCCTCCCCAAGACGGCGCACAGTCTGATATGGGCTATACATTTACATTCCTATTAAACGTATTTTCACATTTGTGATGTTGTAAGTAAAAATTAAAACCAATAGGAGGAACCATCAGAAAGAGGAAACAAAACTCAACAGAAGAGAAAAAAATAGCAATTCAACTTCCATAGTTCTTTCTTTGGATGTGGATAGCATTTTCCATCACGAGGCCTCTGGGGATGTCTTAGATCCTTGTATTGCCGGGAAGGGTTAAGTCTATCAATATTAGTCATCTCACATCATGGCTGTTATCACATACAATGTTCTCTTGGTTCTGCTCACTTCACTCAGCATCAGACCATACAAGTCTTTCCAGGTTTTTCTGAAGTTAGCCTGTTCATCATTTCTTATAGCACAATAGTATTCCATCACATTCATATACCACGACTTGCTCAGCCATTCCCCAATTGATGGGCATCCTCTCAGTTTCCAATTCTTTGCCGCCACAAAAAGAGCTGCTATGAATATTTTTATGCATGTGGGTCCTTTTCTCATTTGTATGATCTCTTTGGGATATAGCCCTAGAAGTGCTATTGCTGGTTCAAAGGGTATGCACATTTTTATAGCCCTTTGCGCAGAGTTCCAAATTGCTCTCCAAAATGATTGGATCATTTCACAACTCCACCAACAATGCATTAATGTTCCAATTTTCCCACATCTTCTCCAACATTTATTATTTTCCTGTTTTGTCATGTTGGCCAATCTGATACGTGTGATGTGGTACCTTGGAGGTGTTTTGATTTGCATTTCTCTAATCAATAGTAATTTAGAGCATTTTTTCATATGACTATAGATGGCTTTAATTTCTTCATCTGAGAACTGTCTATTCATATCCTTTGACCATTTATCAATTGGGAAATGTACTATATATCTCTAAAAAAATATATATATGTGTATATACACATATGCATATATACCACACATATATACATGATGCACACACACACAATACATACATACACACATATACATACATGTACCTGCATATACATACAATATACACTCATACATATACACAATACACACATACATATACAGTACACACACAGATATATACACACATACATAATACAATATACACACACATATACAAACATAAAATGCACATACACATATACATATATACATACACACATCTACATATAAATATATACATATACATAAATACACATGCACATAGATACACATACAAACAATACAATATACATATCTATACATGCATACACATATACACATATACATTACAATATATACATATACACACATACACAGTACACACACGCACACACATACAATACATATATACGTACACACATAAAACACACATATATACACATGCACACACATATATATACATCCATATACAATATACATATACACGTGTATATACATATATAATACAATTTACACACATACAGTACACCCATATACATGTACATACATACACATATACACATACACATATAACGACCTACATATACATATATACACGCATATGCACGTGCACATAGATACGCATATACACATATATACAATATACACATATACATGCATATACACACATACACAGTACACACATACATGTACACACATACAATACATATATACACACATATAAATACACACTCACATAGATACACATACACACATATATACATATACACATATACACACATACACAATATGATACACACACATAGAATGCACATATACACACAAACACATACAACACACCCACATATAAACATGCATGTAAACACACATGCACACATATAATACATGCGCACAGTACACACATGCACACATACATTTACATACATATTATACATACTTATACACTATACATAAACACACACCTATACACATGTATGCATGCATGCACGTAGTACTGGGAAGCCATGGGGTGGGATGGGGGAGGGAGAGGTCCTCACTTGTACATCAAGGAAGGACCCGAGGCCATTGCTGGCATGGTTCCATCTCTTTACAGAAGTTATTGATGCTGGCTGACTTTTCTGTTACCTTCCTTTCCAATTACATCACTTAATTGCCATCCCATTACTTTTTCCCCTCCCTCCACTCCCCCTCTCCCAGAGATCCGTCTCTTACAACACAGAAGTCGTCTCAGTGGAAGTTGATGGCATAGGAAGAATTCTGTCCCCGTGTCTCCCCTTCTGAGTTAGGGACGTTTTCTCCTCTTGTCTTGGGCACTGAGTTTGGTCCTTGTAATGCCAGTTTCTCTTCCTCCGCTGAACCTGCTCCAACCTATGTGACCTTGGACAAGTCACTTACCTTCTCTGAAACTCAGTTTTCTCATCTGTAAAATGAGGCGTTTGGACTAGAGGACCTCTGCACCTGGGGACTTGTGAAGCAGATGTCTGAGATGCACGGTTATCCTTCCTGCGCTAGCCCACGTGGTGCCCGTGCATCCTCCTTTGTCTTCCCTGGAGACCTTGGCAGCTCGTGCCTCATCTCAGAGTTCAGAGGCTGTCTCTAGAGTGCCAGGACCCACCATGGCAGCAGTGATGAAAAGACTTTTATTTGCCTGGATGCAAATACTAAACAAACCTTGTTGATTTTTTTTTTTTGTGTGTGTGTGTGTATGTGTGTGTCCTTTCCTTCACAGAATGTCAGGGTAGACCCCAACAGCCTGTCCTTCGAAATGTGGAAGCAGATCCCGGTTCCCTTCTACATGTCTGTGTACCTGTTTCACGTCCTGAACTCGGAGGAAGTGATGAAGGGGGAGAAGCCCAGCCTTCAGGAGCGGGGCCCCTACGTCTACAGGTGAGCAGCTCCCCAGGCCGCCTTCGGGTGCTGCGGGGAGGTGGACTCTGGCTGTGGTGCACCCCCGGGGAGCAGAGTGACAAGACTGGATCTGGCTGCCCACAGCAGCTCGCTGGCATTGAATGCTTGGGGCTTGCTGGGACAGCTGCACAGGGATGGCAGGGGGAGGGCGGCCTTGCGGTCACCAGAATCTCCTGGTCGTAGAGAAGGGGACATGTAAAGATCTGTGCTCATAGTGGAGGCCGAGTAGGTACTGCATTGAAGTTAGTTCATCTCGAACAGAATGATAAAATGTCATAATGTCATGGAGCATAGTTGAGTGAGCAAGCATTTATTAAGCACCTACTATGTGCTACTGAGGGTCAGGGATGCAAAGAAAGGCAAAAACAGTCCCTGCCTTAAAGGAGTTCCTGGTCTAATTGGGGGAGGGGAGGAGAAGCAGCACAACCTACAAACAAGAGGGTGTGTGTGTGTGTGTGTATGTGTGTGTGTGTGCTGTTTTTGCCATTTTACCCGAAGAAGCAGAAAAGACTGATAATACTTTGGTACCAAGACCTGGCATCTAGCCTCACAGGCCAGTGAAATCAGGGGCAGAAATAACCACCTGCAAATTTTTCAACCCGGGGCAGGAATTCTCACCCTGTGAATTAAGGAGAGGAGTGAGGACGCTTTGAGGGAGTCACTTTGATGAGGCATAAGGAGACCACACAGCAATAGCACCTAGCACCCATTTACTGACCAATTACTGAAGTGACCAAGAAGGTCACAGGACCCTGAGGTGGTCTGGTGACCACCCCTCGCTCCCCAGGAGGGGAATGTCTAATTCAGGACAGGTGTGATAAATAGCTTCCTAATCAATCGATCTCTGTTTATTAAATGCCTACTATGTGCCATGCATTCTGCTAAGGATACAAAAAGAGGCAAAAGGCAGTCCTTGCCCTCGAGGAACTTACAATCTAAGGGGGGAGATAACATGCAAATAAGTACATACAAATCAAGCTATATGCAGGATAAATAGGAGATAATTAAAAGAGAGGAGGTGCTGGAGTTAAGAGGGGTTGGGGAAAGCTTCTTGTAGAAGGTGGGTTTCATAGGTACTGATGTTTAGAAAGGCCTTAAAGCAAAGACAGAAATCCAGTCTTTGAGTACCTGAGGAAGACAGAGTTAAAAAGTGATTAGAAATCATGGTGCCCTGGAGACTATGTGCTGTTGGGTTTGGAGACCTGGACTCAGAATCAGAAGATCTGGGTTCAGATCCTGCTCCTGAAACCTATTGGCTGAGCTACCCTGGGTAAATCATTTAACTCCCTATTGCCCCAGACAGCTCTCTATGACAGGGATTCGTGGTCTCCTTTTCTGTCCTGCACTCTTTTAGCAACTGGGTAAAGTTCATCACGGTTTGTTATGTGCATAAAATAGAATCTATTGAATTACCAGAGGTTGTATTGAAGTACAGTTATCAGCCAGGGATGGTGCTTGCCTACGGGGGAGACAGAGGCTGGTGTGTCTCTTGAGTTTAGGAGTTCTGACCTCAGAAATGTTTCAGCCTAGTTAGTGTCCTCACTAACTGGGTGCCTCTGAAAGCAGGGGGCCAGGGTTGGGGTGGGGTAGGGGTCTGCCTAAGGAGGGGTAAAACTGACCCAGGGCAGAAAAATGGAGCAGGTCAAAGTGTCCTTGCTGATCAGTATTGGGATTGGACCGGAGAGTGACTGCTGCTGTGCCAGCTTGGGTGAGACACGAACACCCAGTTTTCAAAAAAAATAAAAAATACACTTATCAAAATATTTTAAAAGTTCACGGACCCAGGTTCCAAAACCCTGCTCCATCTAAAACTAGACTTTGCAGAAAGGCACTGATCTTCATTGATAAATGGACTTCCTCACCATGAACTTCCCATACGGAGGGATTTTTTAACTTGGGGTACACTAACACCTTCTTTTCCCTCCCCTTTCCTCTGCAGGGTACCATGGATAGATTTCAGGGGTTTGTCAATTTGGGTAGGAAAAAAGTTACATCTTTACTTCTGCTAATGTTTAGTTTCCTTGGTCTTCCTGTGTATTTTATTTTGTGCAATTAAAACATGGTTCTGAGAAGGGATCCATAGACTTCATCAGATTGACTGCTTAAGGCTTTCAGGACACACAAAAAGTTAAAGAATTCTTGCTCTATACCAGTGAAATCACAGGGTGTTTATGTTTGTTTGTTTGTTTGTTTTGTTAAGTGGTAGCATTGAGATTTTTTTCATGGAAGGCTTCCTGGAAGAGGTAGACTTTGAGCTATTAATTACCATAAGTAGAGTGTGTTTGTGGGATTTACAGGGCCCTGGATGGGATCCCTGGAATGTTAGTCGCATGGGGAGTTTTGCCAAGAATACCCGATATCATAAATCTCTATATAAGAAGTCAGGAACATGTGGGTACAGGACTGCTGGGACCCTGCAGTCTGAATTCTGGTTTTGTTGGAGCAAGAGAGAGGGGTGCTAAGGAGCGTCAGGGCAGAATGCCTGGGGGAGGTGAGCTGAGGTTGGGAGGGGTAGTGTTACAGCAACTGAGAAGGGGATTCCTTGTCAAAGCATTTACTAATTTTGCTCAGCCCTGGGAATATACGTAGCAAAGGGAGGTGGTCTCTGCTTTCAAGGACTTCCTATCTAATTGGGGGAGATATTTAAAGCAGAGAGCCCTGTTACAAGGCTCTGAATAGTCTGTGTGAAGGGCTGACATAGAGGAGATGTCCCTGGGAATGAAGTGTGTGAGAGATGTTGGCAGATGGGGCGCTTATGGGTCCCCTTTGTTTGTTTTTACAGAGAATACAGAGAGAAAAGAAACATCACTTTCAATGACAATGACACGGTGTCCTTCTTAGAATATCGGACTTTTGTGTTCCAGCCTCAAATGTCCCATGGCTTAGAAACCGATTATATCGTGATGCCCAACATCTTGGTCTTGGTGAGTCCAGTGCACACTGCCACAGACAGCTACCTGGTACAGCGGGTGAGAGGACAGGATTTGGTGGCAGGAAGACCTGAGTTCAGATCCCCCCTCTGATCATTGCTTGCCTTTTCTCCATTGTTATCCTTCTTGACCACTCTGAAACCTTTGACACTGTTGAGCATCCTCTTTTCTTCTCTTGAGGTTTTCGGGACACTGATCTCTCCTGGTTCTTCTCTTACCCGTCTGACCACTGCCCAGTCTCCTTTGCTGGATCTTCACCTAGGTCCTCCTTCGCTTCCCCTTCTCCTCCTTCTCCTTCCCCATCCCCCCTTCTCCCCATACACCATTTCATTTGGGGAGCTTATCAGCTCCCATGGATCCCGTCGTCATCTCTATGAGGATAGCTCTCACATCTACCTCTCCAGCCCCACCCTCTTTCCTAACTTTCAGACTTCCGTGTCTAACTGCCTATTGGGCCATCCTGTAGGCGTTTTAAATGCAAATGTCCAAAATGGGACTCTTATCATCCTTTCCCTATTACTGACTTCTTTCTTCCTGTCAAAGGCAGCCTCTGAGTCATCCGAGCTCAGATTCTCCATCCCTCTCCTCCCCCGCTTCCAGTCAGTTGCTAAGGCTTCTCTCCTCTTTGTCCTTGGTAACGTCTTCTCTCCTCTGATGCTGCCACTGGCGTGCAGATGCTCATCACCTTGTATCTGGACTGCGAATTGGTCCCTCCTCTCTCTGCTCCATCCTCCAATCATTTGTCACGTTGATCTTCCCAAAGCACAGGTCTGACCATGGCACACACCCTCCCCTCCCTCCTCTCCCAGATGTCAACAAAGACTCCACTAGAAAGATGGGGGGGGGGGTGGAATGTAAGAGCCTGCATCTGAGCTAGGTTTTCAAGTCAATAAGCCAAGTCAACAAGCATTTATTAAGTGCTTACTTTGTGCCAGGCATTGTGCTAAGCACATCAGGAAGGCAAAAATAAGGTTCCTGCCCTCAAGGAGTTTCCAGTCGAAGGTTCTAAAGGAAACCAGGGATTCTGAGAGGCGAGGTCAAAGAAGGAGGGAACCCCATGCAAAGGGAACAGGGAGGGCCAAGGCACCAGGGCTAAAGATGGAGGGTCGGGTGAGAGGAGTGTTTAGAGGCCAGTTTGACTGGACCACAGAGTATATGAGGAGGACTGATGTCCAATAAGCCTCCAAAGGCAGGTGGCAGTCAGGTCCAGAAAGGGGGGGGAGTTTGGATTTGATCCTGGAGACCATAGGAGCCACTGAAGTTTCTTGAGCAAAAGAGTGACCCGTTCACTCCTACAAATTCCAGTGGCTTCCTGTCACCTTCAGTATCAAAATTTTCTGTTTGACTTTTAAGCTTCTTCATAATCTGGGCCCTCCCCCCTTTTACCTTTCCTGTCTTCTTGTACTTTACTCCTTCCCTTGTCTTCCGCAGTCCAGTGACACTGACGTCTTGACTGCCCTACCAACAATGCACTTCATCTCCTGACTTCAGGCACTGTTGCTGGCTGTCTCCCATTCCTGGAAAACACACACACACACACTCTCTCTCTCTCTCCCTCTCTCCCTCTCCCCCTCTCCCTCTCCCCCTCCCCCCTTTCTTTTTCTTTCTCTCTCCTCTCTCCCCCTCTCCTCTCTCCCTCTCTCCCTCTCTCTTTTCCTCTTCTCTCTCTTTTTCTTTCTCTGTTTCTCTTCTCTTTGTCTCTCTCCTCTCTCTCTGTGTCTCTCTTTTTCTGTCTCCCCCTCCTCTCTGTCTGTCTTTCTCTCTGTGTCTCCCCCTCCTCTCCTTCTGTCTTTCTGTCTCTCCATCTCTCCCCCTCCTCTCTGTCTCTTTGTCTCTCTCTCTCTGTCTTGCCTCTACCTCTTGGAAGTTTCAGTTAAAATCCCACCTTGAAGAAGCCTTTCCCAGGCCTCCTTAATGCCTTCTCTCTCTTAATTATCTCTAGTTTATCCTCTATATACTTTGTCCAAAATTTTTTCCATGTTGTCTCTCCCATTAGACTGTGAGCCCCTTGAGGGCAGGGGCTGTCTTCTGCCCTTCTTTGAAGCTGCAGTTTTACACAGTGCCTGGTGCATAGTTGGCACTTAATACATGCTTATTGACTTGACTCGTTCATTGTGTGACCCTAGACAATTCACTTAACCTCTGTCTTCCTCAGTTTCTACATCTGTAAAATGGAGATAATAACAGCTCCTATGTCGCAAGGTTGTTCTGAAATGGGGAGAAGGGATCTGAACACAGTGGAAAATATGGCGGATTTGGAGAACCAGGAGAGCTGGTTCAAATCTCACTTCTGATGTTAAGTACCAATTCTGGGAGAGAGTAAGTGAACTTACTCAGGATATCTTGAGGGAATGACTGCCTTCTCTGATGGGTCAGGAAAGGGAGGCCAAGTCAGACAGAAAAAGGACTGATGAGATGTCCTTGTATTTCATCTTGAAATTCCGGAAGGAATGGGGAAGAGGAGGCTGGGGCAGACATCCACGGTCATCGTGGTTTGTATTACTAAGAGCAATGATGCTGTGCTTTTGTGTGGCCCTTTAAAGTCTTTCCAAGGGCATTTTAATTTCTTAATCTTTAAAATTTTTTTCCAATTACATGTAAAAACAATCTTTGATATTTGTTTTTAAATTTTAAGTATCAAATTCTATCCCTCCCCTCACTCGTCCTTGAGAAGACAAGTAATTTGATAACAGTTCTACCTGTGCAATCATGCAAAACACACTTCCATATTAGTTGTGTTGTGAAAGAAAACACAAACAAAAAACTCCAAGAAAAATAAAGAGAGTGAAAAATAGTACGCTTCAATCTGCATTTGGACCCTATCACTTCTTTCTCTGGAGGTGGAGAGCATCTTTCATTGTTTTGGATTATTGTATTACCGAGAGCCGCCAAATCATTGGGAGCTGATCATCATAGAGGATCGCTGTTACTGTGGACAGTTCTGGTTCTCCTCACTTCACTTTGCCTCAGTTCATCTAAGTCTTCCCAGGTTTTTCTGAAGTCTTCCTGCTCATCATTTCTTACAGCACAATAGTATTCCATTCCATTCATATACGACAACTTGTTCAGCCATTCCCCAATTGGTGGGCATCCCTCAGTTTCCAGTTCTTTGCCACAGCAAAAAGAGCTGCTATAAATATTTTTGTATACTTGGGTCCTTTTCCTTTTTGTTTTTTATCTCTTTGAGATAGAAACCTAGTAATTATATTGCTGGGTCAAAGGTTTTGTGCACAGTTTTATAGCCCTTTGGGCATAGTTCCTAATTGCTCTTCAGAATGGTTGAATCAATTCACAACTCCACCCACAGTGCATTCATTAGAGACCCAGTTTTCCTACATCCCCTCCAGCATTTGTCGTTTTTCTTTTCTGTCATATTAGCCAGTGTGGTAGGTGTGAGGGGGTACCTCAGAGTTGTTTTAATTTGCATTTCTCTAATAAATAGATTTAGAACATTTTTTTTCACATGACTATAGGTAGTTTTAATTTCTTCATCTGAAAACTGCCTGTTCATATCCTTTGACCATGTATCAATTGGGGAATGACTTATATTCTTATAAGTTTGACCCAATTCTCTACATATTGGAGAAATGTTAGTGTCTTAATCAGAATATCTTTAGGGGGCAGGATCCCACCACTTACCTAAAGAAGGTAGGTAGTGGGGGGTGGGGAGGAGGTCAGGCACTGTGCCCATTTGACAGATGGGAAGACTGAGTAGACAGATTAAAGGGACTTAGCCAGGGTTGTAAATATTTTTTAACAACTATCCCTCCCCTCCCCCAAAATACTGCATTTTTAACACTTTTTCCATCACTTTCTTAAGTGAAAATAATCAATAAAACAATAAATCAAGCATTTGCTGATTTCTGAGGTGTAAATTCTTTTTTTTTTTCTTTTTGGTGAGGCAATTGGGGTTAAGTGACTTGCCCAGGGTCACACAGCTATTAAGTGTTATGTATCTGAGGCCGGATTTGAACTCAGATCCTCCTGAATCCAGGGCCGGTGCTCTATCCACTGCGCCACCTAGCTTCCCCAAGGTGTAAATTCTTACACTGGCAATTTAACAATGTGAGCTAGCTCCAGCACCATCCTGGATTTAGCCCTTTCAGGTCCATCATCCAGATGGCAGCCAGAGCAATAATCCTAAAGCATAGGTCTGAACCGGTCACTCCTTTGCTCAAGAAACTTCAGTGGCTCCTATGGTCTCCAGGATCAAATCCAAACTCCCCCCCTTTCTGGACCTGACTGCCACCTGCCTTTGGAGGCTTATTGGACATCAGTCCTCCTCATATACTCTGTGGTCCAGTCAAACTGGCCTCTAAACGCTCCTCTCACCCGACCCTCCATCTTTAGCCCTGGTGCCTTGGCCCTCCCTGTTCCCTTTGCGTGGGGTTCCCTCCTTCTTTGACCTCGCCTCTCAGAATCCCTGGTTTCCTTTAGAACCTTCAACTGGAAACTCTTTGAGGGTTTTTGACTTTCTGTTGTGCTTAGCACAATGCCTGGCACACAGTAAGCACTTAATAAATGCTTGTTGACTTCACTTGAAAACCTGGCTCAGATGCAGGCTCTTGTACTTTCCACCACCCCTCCCTGTCTTTCTGGTGGAGTCTTTCTTGACTGCTGGGAGGGGAGGATGGGAATTGAATATCAGCCTGCATCTTAGGAAATGGGCACCCACTTCTTGGTCTGTGGTGTCAGTCAATAAACATTTATTAAAGGCCTACAGTGTGCCAGGAACTGTGCTAAGTGCTGATAACACAAAGAAAGACAAAAGAGCATCCCTGCCCTCACAGGGAGTTGACAGTCTAATGGAGGAAACAACATACAAACCAGTCATGGACAGGATAAATTCGAGACGATCCGCAGGGGAGGCTTCAGAATTCAGGGGGTAGGGAAAGGCTTCTTGCAGAAGAAGGTGAGGTTTTAGCTGGGACTTGAAAACCTATTTGATAATAATAAAGGTCAGGGTGTGGTGGGTGGTAGAGGATCCCTCTTTCCCCCCCCTGGTCTTGAGCCCCAGATCTCCTGATAACGTCAGTGTCTTCTCCCCTGCTGTGTTCTAGGTGTCCTCGGTGATGATGGAACACAGACCCATGTCCATGAAACTGCTCATGAGCCTGTCATTCAGCATGTTTGGCCAGCGGGCCTTCATGAACCGCACGGTGGGGGAGATCATGTGGGGTTATCGCGATCCCCTCATTGATCTGCTGAATAAATACTTCCCTAACATGTTGCCATTTAAGGATAAATTTGGCTTATTTTCACAGGTGAGTCGGAATGTGTCAAAATACACCACACACACACACACACACACACACACACACACACACACATACACGCACATGGCTGGTTAGCTTGTCCTTTGAAAAGGAGTTTTGTTTTTTGTTTTTGTTTTTGTTTTTTTTTTGTTTTTGCTTTTTGGTGAGGCAGTCGGGGTTAAGTGACTTGCCCAGGTCATACAGCTAGTAAATGTCGTGTTTGAGGCTGGTCAGGTCCTCCTTACTCCAAGGCCAGAGCTTTATCCACTGTGTCACCTAGCTGTCCCCTAGCTTGTCCTTTGAAAGCAAATACCCCAAACCCAATCAGTTGCTGTTTTTCTGTGTATAGAGCATACCCATGAAAAAAATTTATCTTTGTCTTTTGTTTTCATGTCACACTCTTTCCCTCTTTTGCTGGCTCCCCACCCCATTTTAGTCCAGTGGGTCTTCCTTTATGACAAAGATCAAAAAAAAAATTAGAAAAACCAGTGGCCTTGAGGGCCCATGGAACATTCTCCACTCATATTTCCCAATCTTCCTGACAGAAACAGGGAGGCTTCTGCTACTCTGCAGGCTTGCCAGGTATAACGTGAAATTGGCACGAACAATAATAAACAAATAAATGAATGAAACATTCTTTCCTAGACATGGTGTGAAATTAGCATAGATCAAATGAATGATTGAATGAATGAAACATTTTTTGCCAGGTATAGTGTGAAATTAGTATGAAAAAAGTAAACAAATAAATAAACACATAAATAAACAAAACACTCTTTGCTAGCTGTAGTGTCAAATGAGCATGGATAAAATCAATAAATGAATGGATGAAACATTCTTTGCCAGGTATAGTGTGAAATTAGCATGAATAAAATAAATAAATAAATGAATGGATTTCATTTATTGATAAATGATAAATAAATTGATAAATGATAAACATAAATAAATAAATAAATAAAACACTCTTTGCTAGATATAGTGTGAAATTAGCATCAATAAATAAACAAATGAATAAACAAGCAGATAAAACATTCTTTTCCAGGCCACCCACCATCCCGTGTGTACACCCTAAACGTGGGAATTTGTAAACAGTGTCTGACACTTAGCAGATACTTAATCGATGCTCACTGATTGATAGATTAAATTGTTGCTCAGAGTATCTGACATGGATGGGAAGGCTCATTCATTCCAACCATGCCCTCAACAGCTGGTGGCCTTCTGTTCCCCTTTAGAATTAGACCCATTGACCATTAGCAGTAGAAGGGGCCTTGTGTATTCTGGCGCCATCATTTGACTGAGGTTATACCAAGGCCCAGTGAGAGGAAATTACTTGTTTAACAACATCCAGAAAGTTAGCAGCAGAAGAATAGGGAAGGACTGTTTCTGCTGTTCTAAGCCCCTTTTAATGTAACCCTAGGCTTTGTGGTGGGTGAGCATTTCGGAATCACAGAATTTGAGAGGGACTGAAATGGCCATTGAGTTCAACTTATACTGAAATTTAATATTTTATTTTTTTCCCCAATTACATGTAAAAACAAGTTTTAATATTCATTTTTTTAGAATTTCTGAGCTCCAAATTTCCTCCCTTTCTCTCCCTCCCCTACCCTTTTCATTGAGAAGGTGACCTTCCATTTTGGTCATCCATCCCATACTCATAAAAAATCTCCATTCAGGGGGCAGCTAGTTGGCGAAGTGGATAGAGCACCGGCCCTGGAATCAGGAGGACCTGAGTTCAAATCTGGCCTCAGAGACATGATACTTACAAGCTATGTGACCCTAGGCTAGTCACTTAAACCTGATTGCCTCGCCCCCCCCCAAAAAAAATCCATCCAGTGATTATTTGTCCTCTGTGCTAGAATACTCCCCATCCTTCTCCATCCCAATGAGAGGGAACACATCATCTCTCAAGCTGGCCAATTCCCTTTTAGATAGTTCTTCATTTTTACAGAGAGGGAAATTGAGGCACAGGGAAGCTAAGTGAGTTGGCCAAGGTTACAAAAGTAGCTGAGTGTTAGAGATAGGATTTGAACCCAGGGCCTCTGACTACAGAACGAAGACTCTGTTATATACACCGTAATGGTCTTTGTGAATTGCTGTGACTGAAAAAAAATCATTCAGCCAGTCAGTAGACATTTACTAATTACCTACTATGTGCTAGGCACTGTGCTAAGTAAACATTGGGGATACAAAGAAAGGTAAAAGAAAGTCCTAGCCCTCCAAGAGCTTACAGTCTAACATACGTAAACAACTATGGCAAATGTCAACTTGCTCATGGTCGGTGCTCAGATGTCTGACATGGAGTCCGTCCACCATCAGGGAGGCCCGTCCTTGAGGCCTCTGCAGTTTGGGAGGACCTGCCCAAAGCTAGATGTTGTTGGCATCGCTTTGGAGAAAAATCCTCGATAAGTGAGCCTGTGAGTTCAGGGCTAGTGTCCTGATCAAGGGTTAACAACCTCCTCTAAAAATTAGGGCGATCTGACCTCGAGGAAGGAAAAAATGCTTGGTAGGCTAAAACACTGGGCAGAATCAAGTATGATGAGACAGCTAGGTGGTGCATTAGAGCCCTGAGCCTAAAATCATGAAGACCTGAATTCAAATCCAGCCTCGTGTACTTCCTAGCTCTGTGACCGTGGGCAAAGCATTTAATCTCTGTCTTCCTCAGTTTCCTCAACTGTAAAATGGGGACAATAACCACCTCTTTCTCAGGATTGTTGTGAGGATCAAAATGGGATAATATTTGTAAGACACTTAGCACAACGCCTCGAAGAGAGTAGGTGCTATGTGTTGTCTTTCAGTCGTATCCAACTCTTGGTGACCCCGTTTGGGATTTTCTTGCAGAGATCCTGGAGTGGATTGCTATTTCTTTCTCCAGCTCATTTTACAGATGAGAAAACTGAGGCAAGCAGGGTTAAGTGACTTGCCCAGGATCACACAACTAGGAAGTGTCTAAGGCCAGATTTGAGCTCAGGAAGATGGGTCTTCCTGACCCCAGGCCCAGCATTCTATCCACTGCACCACCTAGCAAACTATTTGACGTGGATTCAAAAAAATCAATGCCACGAGGACAGGACAGATGAGACATGGTTAGATAGTTTATCTGTAAAAAATTGTGTGTGTGTGGGGATGTTAGTAGACTTTATGCCCACTATTAGTCAACAGTTGGATATGACAGTTTATAAAAAGCTAATGTGGGGGCAGGTAGGTGGCACAGTGGATAGAGCACTGGCCCTGGTTTCAGAAGGACCTGAGTTCAAATCCAGCCTCAGACACATAACACTTACTACCTGTGTGACCCTGGGTAAGTCACTTAACCCCATTGCCTAGCCAAAAAAAAAAAAAAAGCTAATGTGATTTTAGGCTGCATTAAGAGCCATAGCATCCGTGATGTTTTGGGAATTGTTAGTAGGGCAGCTAGTGGATAGAGTGCCAGGCCTGGAGGCAAGAAATCCTGAGATCAAATGTACCCTCAAACACCTGCTAACTGTGTGACCCTGGACAAGTCACTTAACCTTGTTTGCCTCAGTTTCCTCATCTGTCAAATGAGCTAGAGAAAGAAATGGCCAACCACTCCAATATCTCTGCCAAGAAAACCCCAAATGGGGGCACAAAGAATCAGACGTGATTGAAATGACTGAACAAGAATATAAAGTAATTCTCATAACAAGTGTGGAAATCTGATGATGTGATTCCTGAAAGCATATAGGAGCACTCCCATCTTCAGTACCTTCCTCTCTGTCTCAGAATACAATGAATTCTCATATAAATAAAGAATCATTGAATTAAATTGAATGAGCCTACTCATTCACTGAGTTCCCCAGGAGACTTGACTTGTGTCTTTCCAATTATTTGTAGTTAAACGACTCCAATTCAGGATTGTTCACTGTGTTTACCGGGGTCAAAGACTTCAGCAAAATCCATCTGGTGGATAAGTGGAATGGTAAGAGCAAGGTAAGAAGAAGGATAATAATAACTGATGTTAAATGCTACTTCTTTTTACATTATTTCAATTGACCCCTATAATTAATCAAAAAATATTTTTTATTTTAATGTTTCAATTAATAATCATTTCCTCTTCCCCCCCCCCCAAACCCAAACCAAATCAAAACTTTGTAACAAATGTTCATCATTGAGCAAACTAAATTCCTGTATTGGCTATGTTCAAAAAAGGTGTATATCATTCTTTCATTTAGTAATTACTCCTTTGTGAAGAGGTGGGGAGCATCTTTCATTATCAGTCTTCTGGAATCATGAATGATTATTGCATTGATCAGCATTGAAGTTGGTCAAGATTGTTCATTTTTACTGTATTGTTAATATAGCATAAATTGTTCTCCTGGTTCTGCTCACTGCTTTGCATCAGTTCATACAAGTCTTCCTAGATTTCTCTGAAACCATCTTTCATCATTTCCTATGGCACAGTAGAATGCCATTATATTCATATACCACAATTCAATAAACATTTAAACACCTTGGGAATTCCAAGGCAAAAAAAGGAAAAGTATTTGCCCTCAAGGACTTTATACTCTAATAAGGGAGAAAGCTTGCAAAGATATATATATATATATATATGTATATATATATATATATGTATATATATATATGTACACACACACACACACATATATGTACATGGCATATTCAAATCAAATGTAAGGTAACTTTGGGAGAAAAGGTTGGTAGCTGAGGGGACCAGGGAAGACCTCATGTAGAAGGTGGAATTGGTGGCAAACCTTGAGAGAAGCCAGGATTTCCAAGAGATGAGGTAAGAAGGGAGAGTATTCTAGGCATGGTGGACAGCCAGTGGGGACAGGAGATATGTCATGTATTAGGAAGAAAATAGTGTCCACATGAGCAGGTATTATTATCCCCACTTGACAGATGGGGAAGTGATAACTCATAAAGGTTAAATGATTTGTCCGTGGATATACAGTTAATAAGTGTTTGAGGTCAGATTCACATCTTAAATGTTTATTTAATTGATTTGTGGACTAATACAGCTAAATTCACAGTCTTATCTCCAGGAAGTTGCTCATGGGTGACCCAAGTTTTGAGGTCATTATAACTCATGAAGCTATCTACAGGACATGTGTTGGAAACCATCATAAGCATCAGAAGAGAATTAATTCTCCTTTCCCTTTTTAATTTGTTACTGTTAACAAACTTACCGTGAGCAAATTTGTTAGTGTTAACAAAATCGATGTTGCTAACAAATGTGTTAATTTGTTATTGTTAACAAATTTGTTGATTTGTTGTTATTAGTTAAACTTCTGGAATTCAGACCAGTGCAATATGATTAATGGGACAGCTGGACAGATGTGGGCCCCTTTCATGACTCCAGAGTATAACCTTCAATTCTACAGCCCGGAGGCCTGTCGGTAATGACTCTTATTTATGACTTGATTAGGGGCAGTATGCCGGGCCATTCCCAGGGTGACAGGATCCACTCCCTCATCCCATCTGAGCTTGTATTGGCAAAATCACAATGACAAAGCTGAAAAAGGGACTTTTGGAAACCAGCTGTCCCAGTTTACTCATTTGATAGCAAGAGGAAACCAAGTTCTGGAGAAGGGGAAGTGACCTGCTCCCATGTCCTCTGTGTGTGTGTGTAAGTGTGTGTATGTGTGTGTGTGTGTGTGTGTACACATACACAACAAGTCTTTGCCTTATTACCATGTCTTTAAAAAGTTGTATTGATACCTTTTGTCTCTACGTTACAGTCATTTCCATAATTAGCCCGCCTCCCTCCCGTATCCATTGGGGAATGTGTTTTTTACCAATGAATTAAAAATAAGGGGGAGAAAAAGCAGTTTAGCCAACTACCAGCAACTGGATTTGCCAGGCTCTGCAGTAACCCACACCGCTTTACCTGTGCAGTGAAGGGAGGGATTATCATAAATCTGTTTGAAGAGTAAAGTCTGAAGTCAAATCAGGTTTATGGTAGAACCAAGATGAAAAACCAAGTTTCCTCTTGACCTCCCAGTCCAGCCGCACTTTTGGTTTCTTGGGGAGCTAACCGACAGACTGATATTTTTATCTTTCTGGTTGTCGATGATACTTTCTTTAGTTCTTTTTCTCTTTTGACCCCTCTAGGTCTTTGAGTTTTGAATATGAAAAGTCAGGAGAGTTCAAAGGTATTCCTACTTATCGATTTGTGGCCCCTAACACCATATTTGCCAACGGGTCTGTGTACCCACCGAATGAAGGTTTCTGTCCTTGCCTGAAGTCGGGAATCCAGAATATGAGCTCTTGTCAGTTAAGTAAGTAATACGCCCTCTGGGATTAGTTTGTCTTCAAGATCTCTGGTCATTCTGTCATCGTCTTGGTAGTAAGCATCTGGTTGCTTCTTTTTGTAAGCACATAATATGTGTCAGGCACACGTAAGTGCCAGGAGTACAGAGAAAGGCAAAAAACCGAAACCAAAAACAAACTACAGTCCTCGTCCTCAGGGCAGTCCCCATTCGGATGGGGGCGGGGATGGGAAAAGCTGGTCATTAGAAACATAATAAAAGTAAATTCAATGATACGTAAGCTCCAGAATTAGAATTGAGGTTCTCTGAATATAGGTGGTGGCAGAATAATTGGTGACATTCCCTCTCTTTTCCCCATATGTCTTCCTTGCCAGCATGATGAGATCCTAGGGGTGGGCCATGTTGCTGCGAGACTGGCAGAATTTCCTTTGGAATAAATACTCTGCCAGTTTGGGTGAGCCCCTAGGTTTCAAAGTCCCCTTCACCCACACTGATCTCACCCTTCTCCTTCAGTGACCAGTGCAAAGAAGGGTGTGGATCAACTAGAGAGTGACCAGAAGAGGGCCAGCAGGGTGGTCAAGAGAAGGTTGGCCTTGGAGTCAGGAAGACCTGAGTTCCAATCCTGCCTCTGTTATTAGCTCTTCTCCCTCTTCATCTTCCCTTCCCTCCCCCGCCCTCTTCCTCCCTGAACAAATTGCTCAGCCTCAGTTTCCTCTTCTGTAAAATGAAGGGGTTGGGCCAGATGGCCTTAGAAGTTTCATCCCTGGGGCAGCTAGGTGGTACAGTGGATAGAGCACCAGCTCCAGAGTCAGGAGGACCTGAGTTCAAATCCAGCCTCAGATACTTGATACTTACGAGCTCTGTGACCCTGGGCAAGTCACTTAACCCAAACTGCCTGGCCAAAAAAAAAAAAAAAAGGAAAAAAAAAGGAAAAAAAAAGAAAAGAAGTTTCATCCCTTGGACCATCTCCATATTGAAGATTCTGTATCTTCCAATTAAGCATTTCCATTGTTTTTTTATTTCACATAGATGCGTCTCCCCTATTCCTAGCTAGATCATAATTATAGCCAGCATTTCTATAGTACATCAGAATTTGCAAAGCAAGCCCTCCCAGCCAAGGAAGAGCTCAGCTGGGGTCTGGCCAAGCTACAAGGTATTTGGTGGTGCTTATTTTAACTAATTCTTTTTGAGATGTCTAGGTGGTATAGTAGATGGAGATAATATACGTTATCTCATCTTATCCTCCTAATAACCCTGGGAAGTAGGTGCTGTCCTTATCCCCATTTTACAGGTAAGGAGACTGAGGCAAACAGAGTATTAAGTAATAACTATAATAACAACAGCTAACATTTATATAGTACTTATTCTGGGCCAGGCACTGTACTAAGTGGTTTACAATTATTATCTCATTTGGTTCTCATAACAAAAAATGAAGGTAGGTGTTCTCATCATGCCCATTTTATAGATGAGGAAAGTGAGGCAAGCAGAGATGAAGTGACTTACCCAGGGTCACACAGCTAGGAAGTATCAGAGGTAGGATTTGAACTCTGGTCTTCCTGACTCCAAGCATGGTACTCCATCCACTGTGCCACCTAGTTTTCTCTTCTTACTTGATTCTGCTCAGTGTTTTAGCTTACTAAGATCTTTCTTGCTTCCTAAGTTTTAGAGTAGATTGTTAGCCCTAGTCAGTTTCTTCATGCCTGCAATGCCACAAGTGGGCACCCTGTTAATTCTTTACCCTTGGGCAACCCCGATTGCTGTGCCCTAGTTACAACTCCTTCCAGACTCCCTTGAACATCTGCCTCAGCTCCGGAGCAGCTGGCTTCCACTCGAGCCTGGCAGGTGAATTGTATTCCCAATCAATGTCCTTGGGCAGTGGCCCGATGGGTCATGTTGCTCTCTAGCGAAACAGAAGAGGATTTTCTGTAAGGTTTCTCTTGCAGAGGCCACAAGACTGTAACTAGACATTTTCTTTTCTTGCATGGCAAACAGTGCAGAAATTAGTCCAGGGTGCAGATTGCACGGCACAAGCCCTCAGACGCTGCTGGGGAGGCTGTCATGGGAGCCAGGGAGGAGCTCAGCTTGGGTTTGGCCAGTAGCAAGATACTTGGTAGTTTCCAGGTTAACTCAGTCTTTTGGGGGCATCCAGGTGGCTCAGTGCACAGCGCACTGGACCTGGAGTCAGGAAGACCAGTCTGACCTCAGACTGTTGCTGAGCTGTGTGATCCTGGGCAAGTCGCTTAAACTCTGTTTGCTTCAGTTTTCCAGTCTATAAAATGGGAATAATGATAGCACCTCCTTCCTAGGGTTGTAATGTGCTTTGCAAACCTTAAAGCTATGTAATTGCTGGCTATTGTTGCTAACTAGGTGCTGAGTTTGACTGTATCTAGACAGTAGAAGGACTGTGAGTGTTGCTGAGGGCGCTCTGTAAATGAAGGCACCCAGGGACAGAGCCTTAGTCACCTCGCCCCATGCTAGTTATGGCCCTGAGAGATGCCCAAGTACACCCAACATGCTTACACCTGTTTGTAAGGACTGAGAACTTGAAAGGGCCTCAGAGGTCATTTGGTGAAGTGATTCTCAAATTTTTGGGTCTCAGGACCTCCTTACACTCTTAAAAATTATTAAGGATTCTCTCCCCCTCCCCACCCCAAAGAGCTTCTGTTTCTATGTGTTAGAGCTACTGATATTTACAATATGAGAAATTTAAAAGGCTTTGAATTATTATGAAAGTAATGTTGATCTCATGGAACACCCCTCACCCCAAAAGAATCTCGGGGTCTCCCAGGGGTGTGCAGACCACACTTTGCTACATTTTAGTCCCAATCCCTCAATTTTCAGATGAGGAAACTGTACTTTGGAGAGAGAAAGAGAGGGGGGAGGGAGGGAGAGAGAGAGAGGAGAGAGAAAGAGAGAGGAGAGGTAGAGAGAGACAGAGACAGAGAGACAAAGAGGGAGAGCGGGGGGGAGAGAGGGGTAGAGAGAGACAGAAAGAGACAGTGATACAGAGAGACAGAGACAGAGAGATAAAGAGAGTGAGGAGAGAGAGACAGAGACAAAGACAGAGAGAGAGACAGAGAGAGTGGAGAGAGAGAGACAGAGACACAGAGACAGAAAGACAAAGAGAGAGTAGGGAGAGAGACACAGAGACAGAGAGAGTAGGGAGAGACACACAGAGACACAGAAACAGAGAGACAGAGGCAGAGAGAGGAGAGGCAGAGAGAAAGAGACAGAGACATAGAGAC